TAGGTGCTGCCAAACTATTCACATTGAAATAACTGAAAAATTTGTAGGAAATGATGAGAGCTTTCAAGGAATTTCTCCACAAATGTTATCTTTCAGACCACATTGACTGTGGGTTTGATGATGTTTAGTTTTTATCAACAAAAAAAAATCAGATTTGACACATTTCAGTTGGAACTGATCATGGGAAATGTCTTTTTACCGCTTGGTAACTGGTGGAAGTCTTCTATTAGTCAACAGACCCACACATAAACAATATGAGAGAAAATTCTTTAAAAATAGAACTTTAATACTGAAGGAATTTTTAAATCAGTTTTTTCGAAATCTAAAAGTTTTATCTATATATATAATATATAAATATGACGTTGTACCTCTCAGGAACATGCATGTTTCTGAGAGGTACAACGTCATATTTTGCATGGAGGTTGGCTTGCTACAAGTCTTAATATAGTTGTTTTTCCTCATCGTGTTACATGTAAAATCTTGCATTGTTCACATTGGTGAAAGGAAAAAGAAATGCAGCAGGTTGATTCATCAGATTCACTGTGTTTTCTCCTTTAGTGTAAAGAGTCTATCCAGGATGAATTTGCCGTCGTCATCACTTGTAAACTGACCAACGGGAAAATATCCCCCAAACTTAGAACAGTAGTACCCATAACTTTATAGCTACTGTGCAGACACACCTCCTCCCCTTTATCTCCTCCTCCTCTGGGAGAGACTGGGTGAGAGGTGGTTTAAAGGTCGTGCAGCAGCCTAAAGAGTGAGAGTGAGTTTGATGACCGACAGCCAATGGTTAGCAGAGAGGGGAGTGGGGAGTTGGAATGGGGGCAAAGGAGACGGAGAAAAAGTTGGAATGGGAAGGAGAGAGGAGGAGGAGGAGGAGAAGGAGGAGGAGGAGAAGGGGGCAGGAATGGAAAGCGTCCACCAGCGCAAACACCTCTGAAACAGAAACATCCATTTAGCAGCGAAAACAAGCCCCCCTCACAAGACCTCCGTGAATGGGCCACTTCAGCCGGCCGAGGAAGTTCCAACGAGGGGCAGGATGTTCCCCTCAGGACGCACTTGAGACGGGCTGAGGGCCAAAAGCCTCAATACATAGACCCCTCTCTCTCCCTCTGTCACTGTCCAGCTTTGCCCTCCCACCCGGGCCGAGTGGCTTCAGTACCCCCTAAAAAAAAAACTAAAAAAACCCCAAAACCCCCCGTCCTCCCCTGCCTGCCTGCTTGCTCCTTCCCCTCCTACCAGCCGTTTACTGAGCTGCAGCCAGCAAGGCGGCAAGGGAGGGCGTGGAACTGTACTCAGCAAACAAAGACAGAGGGGCAAAGACTTTCCGTGATTAAAGAGCAGTTAAGATGCTATGAGAGGCTAATTTGTTCACTGTGTGACAGAATCAACAGGAACTGGGGGCAGAAATCTGTGCCGCCTGCATTTCCTGCTGCAATTTAAAGGAGAATACCACTTTGATTTAGATTCATTGCTTTTTTACTGATGTCTACATCCACTTTACTTTTCCCTCACAGCATCCTTCATGCATGTCTTTATGTCATTACATTTTATATTTTGAATATACATTTAAACCGTCAAAACTAGAAACACACTACTATAAAATTACAATCACTGAAATCAAACGTATGTTCACATACACACAAGTAATCAGATCTGATGAAGAAATCTAATTATAGTAAGGATGAAATCGGATAATGTGCTGCAATAACCACAGTTTACATGCAGATGCCCCGTTATACTGGTTCTTTGTGTGCACATGCAGCCACTTAAACACTTAAACATACAATTTAAACTCTTCTCGACAGAATAGTTTGACATTTGGGGAAATACAGTTATTCGCTTTCTAGTCAAATGAAAATGATAAAAAGTTGATTTGAAGTGCCTTTCTTTTATTTGAACCCACTTAACATGAAGAAAAAGGGGAACAAAACCCGGAATGAATTAAATTTACTTAAAAGATTTGTTCTAGATTTTTAAAAAGAAACTGACTCCCACATTGCTGAGGCAGAGAGAGTGTCCAGAGTCATGAAAAGATTTGTACCACTATTGGGTCAGCGATACGTATTAAACCAGAACTAGCAGGGACACCAGCTAGCCTGGCTCTCTCTAAAGTAAAAAAGATCAAAACGGACTAATTAATACATCATATCTAATTTTTGAAAAAACAAACTAAGTAATAATGAAGTTGATGGATTTAGGGAGTTTACGTGCTCCTGTGCGTTTCTTGGCGAATAGCGAATGGAGTCTCTGCTGGTTGCCTGAGGGTGAACACCCCATTCACCAGGTTCACAGTTAATAGTTACAGGCTTCAACTCACTGTCTTCAGGTGTCCTCAAGAGCCACAATGTAGCTGTCTTTAGTTTACATGCACGTAGACCATACTTATTTCATATATACCAGGCTATATATGTCCAAGCCATGTGATGACACCTTGGCTCTGAGAGCTATAGTGGACCTTTGACCTGAGATGATCTGAGCTGGTCGGTCTGTTAGTCTGATGGTCGCTCCACCACTTTGGAAAAATATCTCAACAGTGGATGGATGGATTTAAGTTTCATACAGACATTCATGGTCCCAGAGGATGACTGCTAACTCCTCTGATCCCCTCACTTGAAGTCATGTTTTGTTGTAATAACTAACTCAGGTCATAATTGACACGTGTCCAAACTAAATATCTTCAAAACTAATAATATTCCAAGCTGCACGTTGTATTTAGTTCTAATTAGCATATGTTAACACACTTGTAAGCTTTAAGATGTGAACATGTTGAACCTTGTACCTGCATAGCATCATCATGTTAGTGCCCAAATAAAGCCTGGGAGAGCTGCTGGCATGGCTGCAGACTCTTGTTACAGTGTGTGCCGTCCATGTCCAAAGCTGGTTTGTGTTCAGTGCAACCGACAGTTAGCTTAGTTTGTGTAAAAGGAAAACAAGCCCCGATATCTGCGACTGTACCAACAAAGAGTTCAGACAAAACAAACTGAGACACTCTGCAAACAAATTCACTGACGTGTGTATTCTGTGGCATTTTAGGTTTCATTTCATTAACATAAACATCTAAACTTCAGATTTTTTTTTTTTACCATGAATCACAAAGTCTGTTTGGGTTTGTTTGACTTGTTTTTGCCACGGGACCTGTTTGTTTTTCCAAATTTATGCCCTCAGTGACAGACACAGCAATGACAGCAAACACTATTATAACATGTTTATTGAAAACCTTTTTTGACAGCATAGTTTGTCAGGCACAGAGAGAGAGAGAGAGAGAGAGAGAGAGGGAGAGGGAGAGAGACAGAGAGAGGGTAGGAGAAAGAGAGAGAGTTGAGAAATAGTTGTTTTATCCCAGTGGGAGATGATTGCCCAGAGGGGTTGTTGTGGTGGAATGTTACAGAGGATTTATCATGATCAAAACAGGTACATTGCAACAAACAAGCTATGAATTAAAAATAAAATAAAAAAATCACATAATGCCAACTGGTTAGTTCCACCTTTCTATGTTAGAAACATGAATACAGAGGGAGGAAAAATAAATTATTTGGGAAAAAAAAAAAAACGACAAACATGATTTTTGTCTCACTATTGTTGTAAAAAGTAAAGAAAAAAAAAACCTGATGTGGAATGCAAAATGAAACGTCACGGAAAGGAAAATCAACCGTATATGAAAATCACTTCCTCTCTAAAATTCTTACAAAATAGCTCACACAGCTACATAAAACTCTACTCATGTACATCAGCAACGTAAAAAGCATATTTCAAACTATAAATTAATCTGTACTAACATCGTCAGGTTAGAACTGCATGATAAGATGAAAACGGAGAGCTGTGTGAAAACTAACCATTCTGTAAAAAAGTAAAATCAAATAAACAAACAAACAGCGTGGATTATGTATTGTTTTGATATCTCTGGTGGAAAAGGTGTGTGTCTCACCCCTTCTCCTACCAGTTTCAAATCCTGATATTCTTTTTGTCGAACGGAAAAGAGAATAAATAAGTCAGTCAGAGTGGAGATGACAGGTGGTTAAAGGCTGATGTGTGACTGTACATACAGTAAGAGTCCCTCCCTGCTGAGGCCGTGGTGTTTATTCATTCAAAAGCAAAGAAAACATGTTCACTCTAAAAAAGGATTTGTTGTTTTTAACATATGTCTCAGATTTTCACAGTCAGTGCTTTTATTTTTGCATTAGGGTTAATGATATATTCCGGATACAAATAATATTCACCGTTTCCCCAAGGAATTTCTTATTCCTGTCATGATGAAAAAGCATCAATATTGTTTAAGCAGCATCATAATTTAAAGGAAATCATCCTGTCCTGCTGTCTAACGAAATGTCCAATTTCGGTAACGTTGAATCTCTGCTAATGTTAGCAAGCTAGGCTAATTAGCTTTCCCTGTGTAAATGAAAAACAAACTTGACAGCACAATGGGCCCTCAATAGTTATATATAACCAATGCTTTATTGGCTAGCTGCTTTTTATTATTTATTTTTTGGCAAATTAGCACAATGAAAGTAAGCCAAATTAGCAATGAAAAGATCTTGTTTGCAGTGTAGCCGTGGATGAACAGACAACTATCACGGTATTACTTTGATACTGAAGAAAATTCAAGCAAATTCTGCAGTTATAAGGATCTTTTTATGATTTCCGAGGGGATTTATGGACTATACAGTTTGTGTATTATGTCTGTGTGTTCAGATTTGACAGACTCAGTGACTTAACTGCTTCCATGAGCTGTGTGCCACTACTGCTGATCGGCAGAGGCCATTGTTACTTTTTTTGCTTCCATAACAAAGACACATGTTAAAAACAACGCATATTTTTTTTAAAGTGATCTAATACAGAGACCAGAGGCCGTCAAATTTATCAGAATAAAAAGCTTGTCAAGGATACAGAAAAAAAAGCCAGGGAGGGCATCCGAATAAAATAAAGGATAAATTAAGCCAGGAGCAAAGCCTGATGGGGGCATCAGTATCTAGTAAAATGACTACTCTACATCATCATCATCATCTTCTGGCTCTTTAATGAAAAACAACACTGAAAAGCAGATAGCTATGAATAAAAATACTCTCACCATAGGGAAAGCTTTTACCCAGCATGGAAGAATAAATAAAACAAAACACCATCCGTTTCATTAGATCCATCCAACCTTTACACAAGTGCCTTTTTTGTCTGTCTTGTTCACTTGAAATAAAAAATGGGGCTAATATTTACATAGCCTGTTTCTAAAAAGATAATTTCTTTTGTGATTATACATTCAAAATGTGATCAAAATCAATCGATTAATCTCCTTTTTGTTTGCTAAATTATTCCAGGCACTTCATAGATTCGGGCCAAAACTGCAAGACTGTACTGGAATCATAAATAACAATAACCAGGAGTAACCTTTCACTTTACAAAGACCTTGTTTCTGAGCATGAACCAATGAAAATTTAAATAATTTGGTGCTAAAAGGAAATCAGTGTAGCAACAGAATTAAATACAAATGTCCACTCTTTTAAGAACTTTAAATATTGGGGAGATTTCTTTAAGTACTGACACAGTGTCGTTGGGTGAATACAAACAAATTCAGTTCACACACTGGAATAAGGCCATTGCACAGTAAAGTGTTACCCCCGTTTCCATTTAGCAGCGAGTGAATCATGTTTCTGAACCCTTCAATGCCACTCGAACATCGCTTTCCCTTTTGTGACTTTGCTAAAAACAGACCCTGTAAACATTTCAACCCTTGCACTTTTTTTGGGGTCAGCTGGAGAGACGACAGCATAAAAAGAAGGGAAGATATCCATTTGGCAATCCCATGATCCTTCCCTGCACATGTAGCCTCCGTCCGCCTACATTCGACAGTGCAGTATTTGGTTCAGAGACCTAGAGAACTCGATGAAATAGACTTTTAAGACTAATTTGGCACTTTTTTTAAGCTTGAAGAAGGATCCACCACAGACTTCAGAGTCTCCTTTAACAAACCGATATATATACTGTATATATACTTTCTCTTTTTGGCTGTGTGATCTGTAAGTCGCACAGCATGCCTTCATTTCAGTATTAATACTATAGAGCAGCGATAAAATCTCAAACGTCTGGGCAGGTTTTTTAGTAACACTCAAGCACAAAAATTTCTGCCTTCAAGCTGATGTTTTCATACATGAGTGTGCACACTGGTGCTCAGTGTCTTGCTCAAGGGCACGTTGACACTCGACACAGCTTGTTAGCACTGACCCTTTTTTTTTTTTTACAATATAAGAGTTTGAAGCCTTCAGACAGAAATGTATAAAGAAAAATCCACCTAGAAAGGCTTTGACACTGTTCAAGAAACACCAGATAATGGCGAGATACTTTGAATTTCTGTTTTTTTCTTTGTTATTTGGTGTTTTTTAATTTATTCTTATATATTAAGAATGAGCATCAAGGAGCAAGAGCTTCTTTCTAGACTTGAGTCATTGACGTTCAACAATCACACATGAAGAAATCCAGTGTTAAAGAGGAAAAGAGAACAAATTCTGCACTATTATTTAACTCAAAACCCCAAAATGCATTGCAGCTAAATGCAGAGTAAGATTAGGGAAAGCAATACAATGTTCCCTTTTCTTTTTGTTGTTGTTCATTTGCTCTTAAAAACCTTGCTGCTAACACTAGTTCTCTTCATGTTTTCACACTTTTCTGAATGCGAATTAGTTCAAGCGCATTCTTTAATTGCTTTAAAGTATTCTGGGAAATGTAGTTCAACATTAAAGTTACGTCTGAAATAGCTCTTGTTCTCTAACTAATACCAAATTGTTTTCTTTTAGCTAATGAATCAATAGCATTTTTGTATAAATTCCAATTTACACATCTCAAGAGTAAAGGGGAGGCACTGCATTGTGGGATACGGGGTACTATATTGGATATCTATAACATTACAGACTGAACAGTGAAACAGCATCAGTAGGTGGATTTCTACTTAAACAGACTGCTGAGGTTCTCTGAAGACTTTTTATGATTCACAGCTAGTTGTTGTTGATGTTCAATATGTCTTTAAGTACTTAAGTTATACTAAAAGGCCTCTCTGGTACATATCTCGAAGCGCTGCCATTTCTTGCCCAGCAAGAGTTAACCGTTGCTTTGATATTGCAAACGTCAACTTTTCAAACCAGAATTTGAACTCAGCGCGAACGTCCAGCTCCTTTTCTGTAGGGGCCTTCGGTTCATGGGTCCTCCCCTGGCGGCCGAATCACACTCGCTCTCAAAAATCATCTTTGCGTCCGTCATACATTCTTATTTTTTTAAACAGTAAACAAAAAAAAAAGATGGATCAAAAACCAGAGGAGTCTGCCAGTTGTGAAAAATAACGTTGCAGTTCTGTTGTAAAATAAGTTACAAAAAATTTGAAATAAAAATCTTTGCGTACAGTACTAAAATCCTAAACTAGACCTTTCGAACTTAAGAACCACATGTTAAGTCTATAAATATCTTTACAAATATACACGTTAATTATTCAAATAAACCTTTTCTGTATCACTTTAAATGATTAAATGATTTACACTTTCATGACAGTGTCTTCTAGATTGCAATGCTTCCATCCTAAAACAATACTTTAAAAAATGTAATTTTTTGTCTTTTAAGTACATGGCTGAGGACAGCAATATGATACATATTTGCATTTATATATTTACAATAAATCATTTTCTAGATACATAAAAAAACAACCTCCGAACCCTATTGTATTAATTACTGAATGGCCCTGAAACTTCGCCTCACATCTGATGAGGAATTTGTTCCATGATTATCACAAAACTGTTTTTTTTTCGGGGTGCTAAAACATGTCGATGGCGTACAAATTCATGAGAAAACACAGTCATATGCTCATGTAATCCTCTCTGTTCTTGAACGTCTTCAGTAAAAGCTGAGACAAGTTATTGAGTCTTCGGAAGAACAAGTCCCATCATCGAGTTGATTCTGGCTTTGCTGGTATCTTGTCAACGGATTTTCTTTAAGATCGCAAACTCATATCGCGATCCAAGGGCTCCGTGCAGACGAGAGGATAAAAATCTGAGGTCCTCGCCTACTGGATTGCCAACCGGTCCCTGACCAATGCCCTTCATTCCCTCCTCTTTTATCCTTTTTGTCTTTTTATCCAGTCTCAGGAGGTTTTATCCCAGTAGGCACGGAATGGTTTCACCCAACAGATTGTCCGTAACAAAAGACTGGCCCGAGTACAAAAATATAATTTCATTTCTGAAAAGAAGAACACAAACATGGTTCGACGGCAAAAAATAATCCTTCAATGTTTCAAGAGTCTCTTGGGGAGGAGGAGGAGGACGAGGAGGAGGAGGATGAGGAGGAGGAAGAAAACTCAGTCAAAGAGGATTTCAACCAAGAGTTTAAGACGAATCAAAGAGCTGAAGCACTGTGGAAGTATTGCATGCAGAGTTTTGATTTCCATATTTTGAGGAGCTTGAGTCACTGAGAGGTCTTTGTTAGTCACAAACTGTGAGAGGAGGTTAAAGTCCAACCGCCCCTCCCAGCTCAGGTTTTATGTCCTTATCACCCCGTTACTGGGGAGCTGTTTGGGAAGACAGGGCTCGTCAGGCAGCGGGTCGTGGGCGAAAACCGAGTCGTCTCCTGAGGAGCAGGTGCTGTTGGAGTCCTGACAGGTGGGTGAGTACTGCTCGAAGGGCACCGCCAGGTCCAGGTACTCCTGTCAGGGGGAGACGCCAGAGGTTAGACTGGGGTGACACAGTCAAATCTCAAGTGATGAATTATATAGTTTACTGTATATTTAGTGTGGTAATTAAGTTCTACAGAACACTAAATAACCAACATTTTAAAGACACAGTGAAATGAAAAAAATACATTTTCCATGTTCTTATCCTGCATCTTTGTGTTAGGGTTTTGATTTTACATCTAGATCTCTCTCTTTTCTCTTCCTGAAGATTAATTTGTCCAATCAAATATGATACGGTACTATTACCATGTTGGTCATTTTAGCTAGCTAACTGATATCGTATGGATGTATGGGTTGGAATTTTGTTAGCAAAAACGCTCCACACATTTCCAAAATATGTGGTCGTCCTCGTATTTACCGATGTCTCTTTCGTGCTCCAACATCTGATCTAACAACGTGGGTTTAGTCCCTGAGCCATACCCACTTTATAGCTGCCCAATGAAATCTGAAGTTTGAGTTTATTTAAAGAAATATATATATTAATATTTGTGAAATGAAAAGTCGCAGTTGTCCAAGGTGAAACTAAAGGTAAAGTTTTGTGTTCTTCTTGGGGTTTCCATGTTAACAGTGAGCAGAAGCTGTGTGGGGAGACTTACATCCGTGGAGGTCATTGATAAAACCCGGTCGTGATCTTCTACCAGCTGTCTGAAGGTCGGTCTCTGGGACGGCACGGCATGCCAGCACTCCCTCATGATCATGTACCTGAAACGACCACATCAAAGTTTAGTCACTCTGTATTTTATCCATTAAAATTAAATATACATTTACAACCAATATCCTCAGATCTTAGATGGACTGTTTCCAGTGATTCGTATTGGTCTACTTGATCTGCAGCTGGATGGTGATGGCCTGTAATTAAGGTTGAAGCAAAGTAAAGACTCATCCTTGTTGGTTTTTACCAGTTTTCACTTTCATTTGTTGTGTTTCCAGCAGCAATAAGACACTTTTCACCACAGTTTACAGTAGTGGAGGTCCTCAACGACCACAAAAAATAATTGCTGATTGTGTATGATAAATACAATGTCGTTTTTTTTATGACTTCAACCTCAAAGACTTTGGATATTTCCAGTTCAATAAATTCTGTGCTCATTGTTAAGAAAGTTGTTACTAATAAATAACACTGAATATTAAGACAGAATGCATAAAATCTGATTTAACGGACACACTGAGGTCATGTCCTTTAAATTTTGGGATATGTGTTTTTTTTGCAATCAGTTACTGTGTGCAACTTTACATTTTGGTGAAATTTCAGTGACTACATCAACTTTAATGCTGAAATGTAGGCCTCAGCTCCAGTAAGGTTGTGTGTATATATGTGTGTTTTTTAATAAAAGTGGTCATAGGTAACATATTTCATTCATAAAATTAATATTATGTAATAAACTTTAATATGAACTTCATTCTAAGGGGCTTTGATTTAGCTTTCTTCACTTTTTTGGTGTCATTTACATAAAAAATAAGACTTTGAACCACATTTTACAAGTCTACTGGTTAAACCAGCCTATAATAACATCAAAAAAGCCTAAAATCCTGGCTAAAGCTGTGGGGACAGCTTCTTCCTTCCTATGCTTTTCCTACTCAGATTAGATTTATCTCCACTAAACTGCCTCCTTAAACGAGGCGATTAAACTAAATTCATAAAGACACCTACAGTTCATGGGTGCAGTTGGCAGGTTTGTCCATCCGATGTCCCTCCTTCAGCAGCTTAAACAATTCCTCTACTGGGATCCCTGGGTACGGCGAGCCTCCCAGGGTGAAGATCTCCCACAACAACACCCCATAGGACCACCTGAACACACACACGTGCAAAGAATACAGATTAGAGGTCAAATGGCATTCACGGCCTGAAGCAGTCAAGGTTCAGAAAAAGGCTTGTGTTCCCCACATAAACCAATCAATCTGGTTGGAGGAATATTGATCTTCAATAATGTTTACTGCACCCAATTTAAGAATCAATTTGACATTCTTATTGTCTGGGACAGTCAGTCAATATCTGTGAAAATCAACAACTCGTCCCTCAAGCCAGACGAATGAAGACTCAAAGTCATTGAAAAGAAATGGAGGACAGATTTAGCTTTGTTAACAGACACAGAGGTGAGTTAGAAGATATTTCATATAACAGATTACGTCAGTCCATGATCGGATAGAGCACTTCTTCTTCGGCCTAATCCTTTAAGGGCTAATTCGCACAGATGTAACTAGCATTGTTGGTAAATATTACCTTTTTTTAACCAAATAATCGAGACAAAACCAACTGAACAGAAAAGATCAGAGTATATCAGCAGCATGGAAGAATTTATGTTCCTTGCTTGTGCGTCATCAAAACCGGGCCAGTGAGCTACAGCTGTGTCCACTCTAATGCAAAAATAATTATAAATGTGTTTCTTTGTTCCAAATGTAGCAAATGACAAACTTTTAATAAAAGCAGCATTCTTGTATTTAAACATGGATGTAAAAAAAAAACAACAACAACCATGTATGGCTATCATGTGATCTATTTTTAAGTACCTTGATTTGGTCAAGCTCAAAAGGGATTAAGCATACCTAATAAAAGAAACTGAATCATGTTTAAATTGTTCTGATGGTTCAGTTTTAATTGCAAACTGAAAATAGGGTGGGAGAAATCTTCTGACACTTTTATGACACTAAAAAACTTCAAGTTTATTCACATTTGTGCAGATGTGGCTTATAATTCAGCTTGGGTAGCAAAAACACCTCCAGGCACTGATCTAAAGTGAGCGGGAATCTCTTTTTTCTTTCTGTGTCTGTGGTAGGGGCTAGAGTTTACTGCTGCATTATTCCTAAATGGCTAAATGAGGGAAGGTAATCAGATAATGGCGGTCTATTAACCCAGTGCCTTATTGTTCGGCCGCTTGTCCAGTGAATCAGAATCAGACCCCTCCTCCCACTGTGGTGCTCAGCAGGCTTAATCTAATTATCCACGCTCCGGTCCAGAGGCTTGAAAACAGCCGCTGCTGGCCGAGCCGGCTAGTCCTCCGTGCATACAGTGAAAGGAGACTGTGGTGAAAGAGAAACATCTATATTCAGACGCAGAAAAGGGGAAACAGAAACTGAAGACAGATGTAACTGGCCAGACGACTGAACTCATTATCATTATTGTGTTCTGGATGTGAACAAATCAGGTCTTCAGGGTCAGGATGGGTTCGGGACCATCCCAGGGACTACGAGAAGAACGAGCAGCCGCACACTCAGGCTGTTAATATTCAGTGCCAGTCGTCGGGGATGAATTTTCACAAGCTATTAGGGGGCTAATATAAGGAGGCAATCAAGATGTAAACACTTATTTTCATTGGCACCTGCAGCAATGAGAGGTGACAGTCTAAGAATGAGAATGAAGGCCAACAGCACTGTGATGTTCTGTGTATGGGAGACAAGTTGATATAGGGTATCGTTCAATGCTGATGTTTGCGGGTTGAAGCTGCAGATAGCTGGTCAAATGTATACAATATGTATGTCTGCCGTTGGTGATCAGCAGAACATTACCTACAAGAAGAAAGACAACGGGATTTCTTCACTCACATGAAAAAACACCACAGCAACACCATCTAGTCTGTTAGGGCAAATAACGGTTATTTTCATCATCGATTAATCGATTAGCTGTTTGGTCCATAAAATCCCAAGAAGACATCCTCAAACGTCTCTCATAGCAGACTAAAGAAACCAAAGAATATCAGAGAATTTGGACACATATTGTTATTTTGTGACTAATCTAATAGCTGACAACCAATCAATTAATTGACTAATCGTCAAAACTCTAGCAACAAATGATGGCATCCAAGCAACAACTTCCCTCTGTAGCTTCGATCTCGTATACAATCGTATCAGCTGTATTAGTTATCGGCAGGCAAAATGATGATAGGAAGCCAATCCTGTAATATCTCTGGTTGTATTAGTCCACAATGTAAAATGACATTACAAGCTTACCAGCATCAAGAACTGTTGTTCTACTGGAAAGTGATCCATTTTTTTTCTGTGGAGGTTTTTCTATCGTTTTAAATCGTTTCTGTGAATGAGTCAATGCCAAAAGCTCTCGTCTTATGCTGCATATTTTTATACACCAGTTGGTTTGGGCCAACACCTTATCCACTTTGGGTACTTTTAACGGGTCAGCGTGTCGCACTGAAGGTTGCAGTAAGGTTTGCTCTCTGCTGCTTTTATAGATTGACACCTCTGAAGCTGTTCAAAATAAAATCCTCACCTCCATGATATTGGTGGTGGGATAAAAGCACTGGCTGAAGAATGAAGAGGTCTATACTGCACTGAATCACTAAAAGTATATGAAAAAAGGGAATTCAGGTTTAAATTTCACTTGGAATCACAACATGATGAAGCAAATTATTTGCACAAAAAAATCAGTGAATCGACACTGTAAAGATCCTACAAAAAGGGCTCCCTGAGTGTTCTTGCTGCCAGCTCTGCCTTCAGAGCTGTAAACGTTTGGAAAGCTGCGTGAACTGCAATGCCAACTGTGCCATGTGAGCTGCTGCAAGCAAAAGTTTCCTTAAATTCAGCCCTTTCTCACTGTTAGCTTGTTGTCTGACTGTGAGTGTGTGACAGATCTGTTTTAATTGTCCCCCCATCTGTTTTAGCGTAACATATTTCAGTAAAAACCATCACAGGTCAAAAGTCAAAGTCCCCCGGGGCATGTGAGAGTAAACTGGCTGCAGAGCGACTACTGTATAAAGGGAGGAGAAGGTTTGGCGGGAGGATTGACTCTGTAATCCAGACCTGCTGAAATAACAGAGCAGGCTGATTCTCCTCTCGGCCCGTTCCCAGTCTAGTGTAATCACACGGCGAGCCAGTGTTGACAGGGGCCTGTGTTTGGCTTGGATGGCTGTGCTGGGGACACAGCGTCTGGCTACAGCCGACTCGGGGGGCAGAGGCAAGGAGCAGTTTAGGGAGGTGGGGGGTTCAGCTACCGCAAGACAGATTGACTTTGTGACCTCCTTGCCTAAACTCGCCTTTCTTGTCCTGATCGCAGCCAACACAGGAGCAATCAGAGGTCGTAGAGGGTGTGTTTGTCTCCCCTGATACCTTTGAATCGTTGTGGAAAAACTCCCTGAGGGGAACACCTTGTGTTAAATCCACTGACCCTCTTATCTCCTTCTGGTCTGGGGCAGGTTGGATTTACGCTGATAAAACAACAGTATGATTTTGGAGCTCCGTTGTGTTTCTGTCTCTCTCTGATGTCGTGTTGGGAGATTAAAGAACAAACGCGGCGAGGAATGCAGAGCCGCTTATACAGAAGAAGGTCAGGATTATCAAGCAAACGCAGATGACAGCGAGCAGGAGATATTTGGAGAGGGAACGCTATGATTCTATATTCACACGCACAAACTCAGCTTTTGATGCTAACACGCTCGGTCACGATATTTCAACACCCGGATTCCTCCGGTGTACAGCAGCCCCACATGAGTGCACAGTTGGCATGTGACGGTTGGTTTGTGCAAACTTACACGTCGCTCTGGTGCGTGTAGACCCGGTCAAACAGAGCCTCCGGAGCCATCCATTTCACGGGCAGACGACCCTGTAACAATAGAGGCACAACAGAACCGCTTGGGTCAGCAGAACCATTCTGTACAGAGCAGAGAGCAAAACATGGACCCAAACAGGCATGCAGAGTTCGGCATCATCTTGCCATGACTGTCCTGAGAACACTCACCTTAACAATCTCAGTCACATTCATTTAGCAGGTATAAAGTTTTTATAATCTTCACTCCAAACTCTACAATGTGTGCCTCTAAAGGCTTTATTACTGCCAGAAAAATCTATTAAACATTCAAGAGAAATTTGTCATATTGATATTTTGATAAGAGCATGAATATGTTCTAATTTCTTGGTTAATATCACAATGTATGCTGTCTTTCCTGGCCTTGAACACAATTTTCTGATCTCTTTGAGCTGTTTTTTGTAAACTGAACGCTTGATGCCTCTACCTGGTTGAGCATCAAATTCATATGACTAATGTTTGTTTCATGTGTAAAAACCTTCTGAAAGGTTGGAGTCATCAAAGCATTGTTACAAAATCAGCATCAGTAGTTTTCTTCCTCATAATTTGATTTTATAGCCTGGAGAATCTTGTATAATTTATTGACTTATCAAGTGTTTGATCTCACTTTCCTTCCATGAAGTGATGGCGACACTGGAAGACAAAATCTAATTTTCAAATGGAGAAAATGAAGTTACAACTTTCCCTCTAAGAGCTGTAGAATATTTAATGGTATAGATGTAATGATCCTGCTCTCTGTTTATGCAAGTTAAAGCCTAAAATTATCAGCCGATACAATTAAATACTATCACTAACTATTTAAGACAACGGAAGGAGACTCACGTTCGTGGTCTTTTTGTAGTAGTCTATATTGTGCACGTCTCTAGCGAGACCGAAGTCGGCGATCTTCATAACGTTGTCCTCCGTCACAAGGACGTTCCTGGCTGCCAAGTCTCTGTGGATGCACTGGGGGAGGAAATACAAACACATCAAACATGCGTCGACACAACGCATTGCACATACACGTACACACACACTGACAACTTTCATCTACCATTGTCAGACTGTATTACTCGCCCTTACATTCGGAATATTGACCCCAATCCTGAAACCTCGTACTAACTTCCAACCCTGAAACTTATTCAAAACCAATAACTAACCTTAAAACTGATTTGGATTCCTAATTCTTATTCTGCTTCCATAAACCTAAAGTAATAACTTAAACGCTGCAAAGATCAGTTCTGGTCACACAAGCTTGAAAGAAAATGCTCTTTAAAATTATATTAAATTATATATAATACATTTAACTGACAGTTTGTTGGCCTTCTCTAACATGCTCCAAAAAGCCTTTCTAATTTCCTTATTTTCTTAGAAAGTTTAGAAAGGTAAGTCCTGGCCAAAGCATTCTTAAGTTGGAAGATTTTCCTTGTCTTCTTATTTCCTTCAGGATAATAATTAAGTTAAAGCTAATGCTATGAGGACAGTTCCTCCAAAACATGCATACATCCACACACAGTGGCTCAGTTAAATCAAACTGTATTTGCATTTCAGCATCAGTGTCACAGCGTCATGGCGGCTGACCTTCTGAGAGGCGAGGTACTCCATGCCTCGGGCGACCTGGTAGGCGCAAGACACCAGGTCTTTGAAGGTGAGCTGCTCGTCAGGGATTTTACAGGTGTCGAAGGAGTAGTCCATTCCTGGTGGCCGCCGTGCCCGCAGGTACTCCCTTAAGTTGCCTTTAGAGGCGTATTCCACCAGGACGTACAGAGGACCTGCGTGCAACACAGAGCACAAAGTCACTTCAAGAACACAGTTAATTATTGTGCTAATCATCTCCTCCGTAGTGCGCTGTGGCCTCACCGTCCTGCGTGCACGCTCCGAGCAGGTTGATAATGTTTTTGTGTTTTCCAATCATCTTCATCATCTCCATCTCTGACACCAGGTCGGATAAGTCTTTATCTGTGGCGTCATCTGAGACAAACAAAAGAGAATGGAATGAATGAATCACTAAACAGATAGTTGCAAAGGACAAAAATACAGATAAATGCGGGGGAGAACAAAGACTGAAGTTGGAGCATATGGGAGATACCAGACCAGACAAACCAGATACATTATTATGTTTACAGTGAAAGGGGATGCCTGTGGAAAAAGAGTCACACAATGCTGCTGATTTCCTTCAGGAAATCACAGAGCACAGCAGTCATCGCAGTCACTCTCAAGGTCGTGTATTAATTCCTGGATAGCAGCCACAACAATCACTAACCTTTCAGCATTTTCACAGCAACAGTGAGAGGCTTGTTGGGCTTTTCCTTGTCGATGCCGACGGCCTCGGCCATCACTACCTGACCAAAGCAGCCCTCGCCCAAAGGTTTACCCAGAGTTAGCCTGAAACAAAAGCAAGACGATCTTAGAGCATGGATTTTTGCTGCAGGCAGTGTTAAAGGCTGATTTTTAATTTCTCTCTATACTTCTGAATGAGACTGATTGGACTGCCAAGTACAATAAGCATGGAGGAAGGTGTCATGGTGACCTTGATGTACTGACGGCTTACGTTTTCACAGCACATAGCGGTACAAGGACAACAGCGCAGTATCTGTCAGTTCTGAAAATATGTTGCTTGGCAGTGTGAAAAAAAGCCACAGACCACCATGTTTTCTTTCTGACTGGCATTTAAACAGCAGTGATGAATCTGGAAATAGAGGACTATTTCAAATGAACTATTTTTCACAGTTTCTTACCGTGTTCGAGGAAACTCCCATTTGGGGTCGGAGGGCAGTTCCAGCTCTGAGACGTTGGCGAGCATCGGCCCGTCGCTTGATGACAGGCGGGCGATCCTTACCAATGGGGTGTTGGAGTTCATGGAGGAGTTGGAATCCAAGGACACCTGCTTGGGTGCAAAAACAAAATGTTATAGACTCTGAAAAAGGTGACATAATGTGTTTAAACATTGAGACAGAGGGAAGAAAGAAAGTCTAACAAGACCTTTGACCCGGCAGAGAATATCTTAACTCATAAACCGAATATTCATGTTAGAATTCACAGAAAGAAAATCTTAAACATGAATTCATAAGGGTGAGATTTAATTGGCAGTAATCATATTATGATTTCATGAAAACTGCTTGAAAGAAACTAAATTCATCTCAAGTCATTAACTTGTTAAATTAACTATTTAAAGAGTCTAATTGCTTTTAAATGTCAAGGACAAGGCCAATAACCCAGCAACTAAAATTGTAAACGTAATTAAAACAAACATTTCATCGTAGGATGCTCAAAATGTTTACGCTCTGGATTGTAGATAAACTGTCAGCTGGAAACTTTACGGGAGAACATTTCTTAATAATAATTAAAAACGGCCACCCGTTAAGCTTTGTTTGATCTTCTTGATGTATAAATGAATGAATAAATGATTGAATAACTTGTCAAGATATGAAGCTTTTTGGCAGCGACAGGCTGCAAACATCACGCATTTCAGGACCAACGTTGGAGCTCTTTCAGCAGCTCAGAGTTTCTCTGAAAAATAGCCTAACTTCTGACACCAGTGGTGACTGTTACAAACAGCTGGCCTGTGGCTGTGCACAGGAGGAGGCAGGCAGTAACAAAGATAAATGAAGGAGGATGCAGAGGTGGGCGAGCATGTGGTGAGGTGGGATGGACGTCTCTATCCATCAACAAGCTCCATTCCCAGACCGGCGGTCCTGCCGCCGAGCCCACGGGCTCCACGTCCTCCCACCATTTATCTGACTGCTGTGGGGGAGCTGATGGCTCCGGCCCTGCTTTTGATCAATCTGTTCGTGTCAAGGGTCTGCCAGCTTAGCCCCTTCAGGTGGGGTTCTGAAACAAACATGTCCACTTACCAGACTTCCCTCCTCAACTTCTTGACTGGAAGAAAATGAGAATACGCGGTAAAGCTTAAAAAACAGCCCGACCACAATTTCAGAGGCATGAAAAGTAATATCTGATAGAACATGCCAGGGGTTTATAGGAGATTTACTCAGAGTTATGAAAAAGAAAGGAGAGAACCAGGAGATTAGCTTTACAAAAACTAAGCAAAGATTACAGAAAAATGCAATAAGATCTTTCCCTGCACTGCCTTATAAGAGCATTTATTTGAGGGTAGCAGAATAGAAAAGATTTAGAGGCTACAATTAGAGCATCTTTTGAAAGATGAGGTTTATACCTGACATAACCTAACAAGACCGATTTTATGTAATTAGAAAAAATACATAATTTTACAAGCTGGATCCCAGATTTGGTTTTAAAGAGTCATTTGTTTGTTTTCCAAGAACTGAATTATGACTTTCAAGCAATAGTTTTCTTTTCTAAAAATGCATCTTTTTGCATTTTGAGGAGCACAACCCTTCAATTATGAAGCTGGAAAGCTGGAGCTCACACAGAACCACCACACAGCGGCTGTGTTCTGTACACAGTGGGAGTCCAGCAGGGTGGGGCGGGATGGATAACTCATCTGCATTTTAAAGATTATTTTTGGGGAGAATTTTTGCCTTTAATGGACAGTTTGAGTGCTAAGAGGCAGACAGGAAACGTGGGGAGAGATGACGTGTGGTAACCATTCGGCTACCAAAGTGCTTCATTCATCTGCATTTCAGATGATCCAGTGCAATCACAACATGCACGTCATTCTGTATCACCAATATTGCAAGAAACCAAAAGAATGAGAGCCAAACTGCATTCCCTGATAGTTTACTGAAGATTATATAAGACAGGGGAATAATAAGAAAAGAAATAGAAGCTCAGGAGCTCAGATAGAAGTCTTTTGATGAGAGTGAAGCGAGTGAATAGACGAGAAGACGAGGACAAACTAATTAGTGTGGAGAGGGAAAGCCTGCAAAAGCAAAAGTACTCTGGCCTGGTCTTCAGAAAGCTTTTTTCCCTTCTTGGACATGTCTGATTCTGATTCCTGTTTTGACTCAGACAAGTCCCTGGTCGAGCCACTGATGGATGTTTTTTCCCTGCCTGTCTAGAGAGCGCGACCCCCCTGAACAATTTCGCAAAGCCAATGCTCATTCCTACCACTCAAACTATCACTTTTTCTTTAGTTAAAAAAAGGTGCCTTTAGATATAGAATCAAGTGATAATCTATATCAAATTACAACCTGCTCAAGTAATGTCTGTCTACCACGTTTCCAGATCTGTTCCACACCTTTAAAGTGTTTTTGAAAAAATTTCCGACAAAAAGAGAGAAAAGTGGAAACACAGCCTTTTTCATTTTTTTGATGTTTGAGTTATACAACAGTCGAGGGATTTCAAACTGTAAAAACTTGTGTACTGAATAGGCCTGAAACGTTGATGCTTTCCGTGTACGGTGGTTCAGCTTAGAGCTACATCTCTGCTCATCCTTACAAAACCTCCTTAAAGGAATAGTTTGACATTTTGGAAAATACGCTTATTTGCTTTCTTGTCGAGGGGGTAAGAACTAACTTGGATTTGTCCAAGAGTTCGTTTGACAACTAATTTAACTGCATTTATTAGTGAGCTTTTGAGGGGCTGGTTGGTGGATTTTGTTCTTCTATGACAGAGCCAGGCTGGCTGTTTCCAGTCTTTACGCTCAGCTAACTATCTCCTGGCTCCAGCTTCATATTTACCAGTGTGTCAAATTATTCCTATAATCCGTGAGACTTTACAGTGTATTGCCCACTCAAATAGGACTATGTTGTCCTGGTCTGTATTCTGTTTGAACTTCGGTCTTGGATTTGACTTGGACTTGACTGAGGCTTGTCTTGAATGCGGCCCTGAGACACGATGACGTGAAGACTTCTGCAGGCTGCAGGCGGTGGCGATGCAGCTGCTCCACTTTATGTTTCTCTCCAAACAGTTGAGGGGTGAGTGTGCGTTACACAGAGAGTGAAATCTAAAACTAACACTGACAGTCACAGGAGGGCATAAATATCCCTGAGCTGAATCTGCTCCAAGATAAATGTGAACACATGTCACCAGTGTGATGCCTTCCAGCGTCCGCACAGCGTCATCAGAACAGCAAGACAGAGAGAGATCCACGACAGACAGACATACAATAACCCTCTCTATTTATCTATACTCTTAGATTGCGTGAGTCCTAACCTGCGTGCAATTCTTCTTTCAAAGTTATAGAGCTGGAAGAGACATATTACAAATACACCCCCTGCTGCAGGTTTCTCATTGTGGCACTGATGCAGAGAAATTACACTGTTTTTCCATGACTCTCCATAACTAATTCACGGTGCTTCCTTGAGTTAATAATGTGACTCCCTCCTTGACTGTTGAGGTTGTTTTTCAAAATAATCTAAATCCTGCCTCAGTTAAGCTTGAGAAAGAACAACTTAAAAAAGCATCTGATTATGAATGTATTTAACAAGTTCCTGATATGTCTTGATTTGAGATCATTTATGATTTTTCCCAAGTTTCTGTGTCCATATTTCCTATAAATTAAGTTTTTAAGCTTTTACATGAATTAAAGGACTCAAAGCAACTTCTTGAATTTATCCAAACCTACTGAGCTGAAATGTTGATGAATTTAGGGATTACAGGTAAAGGTGTTTTCTGTTTTCTACGAGATCAGAAGATGTTTTTTAACCGTTTTGTGGTAAAATCATCTGCATCATGTTGGACCACGCTGAAATTATTCGTTAATGCGTACGCTAAAAGCTAAACAGACAGGGAGAGAGAAAAAGAGGGAAACGTGCTTATACGAATCTTGTATCTACTTTCTGTTACCTGTCTCTTGAGGGGGAACTTTGATAGCTTTTGCACGGGCGGTGTGGGCAGCGTCTTCTGCGTGGTCATCCTCATGCGGCAAAGGACGACAATGACCACAGCGAGGATGAAGAGTACGCAGCCTGTCACATAGATGAGTATGTCGGCGTAGTAGTCCTCCTTCTCCGGACTCACTGCTTTGGGAGGAGGGGGTCACAAACACGAGAGGTCAGTCAAAGTACACACGAGATGACAACATATCATCATAACAATAGCAATTGTATACTTAAAAATATGTTTTCTTAATAATTTAAAAGACATTTTGCTTTGCTCAGTAGCACATTTCACTCAAATAGTTTCTAGAAAGCAGATCAAAACAGAAATAGATCAGAATGTAGTTTTATCCTGAAGCAGGTAATTGCACCTGTGATATGCTTCTCCCCAGGGAGGTAATTATTGTGTTGAACACAGAAATGTCTTTAAATTGCTTCGTAGCCTTGAGACATTTAAACAGACGATCTGCTCTGATTAAAAAGCGTCTTTCAATGGAGGCTGGATTGCATGTTCGGTTCGTCAAATTAAAGGGGCGATGACACAGTTGCAGTGCACTTAAACGTGTTAACAAGCACCAACCTACGATAATGTACAATAATTAGGTTTGAAAATGCTACAGAGCAAAACATGAAATTGTCAAGAAAAGTACAGTTGCAATCATAGTCCCATGGAGTTTAAAACATTTGGAAATGGACGATGAGTCCAAAGACCCACAGAGAGAAGAGGAATATACCTGGAAGCACCGTCAGCCAGGCAGAGTGGTAAGCAAAGCCAATAGAGTTTCCTGCCAGACAAGTGTACTCGCCCGCATCCTCAAAAGACACATTGGTCAAGAAGAGAACCTCTAGCTCCTTATCTGTAGTGTTAATACCAGCCGTCTGTGGAGGATGAGAGGGGGATGAGATGGAGGAGGGAGTAATAGAGAGAGAGAGAGAGAGAGAGAGAGAGAAGAGATATTGTGAGCCCAAAGCTTCTTAGAGGAAACACCAAATACACCCTGGAGGAAAGGACAGGAGTGAGGATTTGAAGGAGTCAGCAGTGCTGTTCTTTTCTTCTGCTGACAGCACCGCCACCAACACCTGAAAACACCCAAGCAGCACCTTCAACCCGTTGCAAAAGAAGCTTGCTGGTTCAATCTAAAACCACAAACAACCCAGAAACTTTTCACACTGCAAAAGTCTGCTTCTTATCTTTCAAGACACTGGCACTCATATGTAGAAAATTCCTGAAACAAGTTGAATAGTACTAAATAGAAGTCCGAATATTCTTACAGCAACATCTCGTTTTAAGAAACAAGAGTTTTAGAGCTCAGTAAAAGACACAAATTACTTGATAAGATGTCAATTCTTGCAGTGCTGTTTTTTTTACAGGATTGGAGTTTTCTCTCAGTTGCTGCTACAACACATGGGCTTAAATTAAACCAGCATAAAGTTTACCTGATGCCAAAGCAAAGCAGATCCCTTCACCGTAGGCACCTTGCGGGTATACCGGCAACATCAAATGTGGACAAGGAGAATTTTATTTATTTTTCGACCTCTAGAAATTTAGGATGTTATGAAATGTTTTCTTTTTAGCTGTATATTTGAAAGAAAGCCACTTTTGATCTTGATGTTTTTGTTCTAGGGGTGCCTCAAGGATCTATTCTGGGTCCATTACTTTTACAAAATAAATACAAAACTGTTTGCAAAGATCTTGTATCCTTGTTGTTTGCTGATGAGTTTTAGTTTACTGATACAAGATATATTTTTAACCGTTGCAACGTACATTCAGTATTATAAAGACAAGTTTTATAATACTTGGAAATACCCTAAGGATTCAGCATGGTTATGTATAAATAACCTTGAAATTACTCAAAAAAGGGCATAATTGAAGTTGGCTTTCCCCCTTAGACTAATGGTTGGTGTGATGACCAGTGGGGGAGTCCGTTTTAAACCCACCGTCTGATGTGGCTTGGCAGGGGGTGGGGTCGGGGACTCTCATTCCCCAGGCCTCAGTAATGAACAGTGACATCCAGACGCAGTCATGAATCAGAGTCTTGCTGCTTGCTTTCATATAAAAGTGCATTAATACAGCTGGAGAATGCACTCCCAGGGAAATCAATACTCGTCTGTGTGTGCAGCATGGTTCAGTTGGTGGGGGTTACGTGGGCTTTTATATGTGTGTGTGTGTGTTTGTGGGGCAGCAAGGGCGATGCTTTTGAAGTTATTGCAGTAATTAAAGGTGTGATATTGTGTTTGTTATTGATCGGGGAGGAAGACAAAGTGGCACTGGATGTTAAAATGGATGATAGCTACTAGCTAATAGAATGTGAGCATTTAAACTCAGATCCCAGCCGAGGAATATGTGTGTGTGTGTGTGTGTGTGTGTATGTGTGTGTTGGTACTATTAGCAAGCCAGTGAGCCAATCGAACCCACAACCAAGAGCAGCCCCGCAGAGAGGAGGAGACATAGCAGATAAATGTGGTGAAGTCGCTGGGAGCTCAGGATTTACCTGGTTTGTGTACCTTAAGCCAGAAAGCGTTTTCCGACTTGCCTACAAAGTTTGAGGCGCGACACCAGTACTTCCCACCATCTGTCTCTGTCACGTTGGACAGATTCAACTTACTGTGGGCCTCAGTGTGTATACTGACAACACTCTGTAATGGGAAAATCGAGAGGCACAGTGAGGCCCTTTACAGCAAATTCCTGCAAGAACACATGTAGAGAACATACATGCAAACTCTGTAGAACAAACACACTCAAATATACTGCAAGCAGGTGAGGTACTTTCTTATTAATATATTTTCATTATTTCACAGTTCAAAAGGGAAATTATATATATTGCTAGTTAGAATTTTTAATATTTTGCTGCCTTGATATCTGCTTGGGTACCAGTCAAATTTAATTTAAGTTACATATGAGCTTTCTTTTGTTGTCTGCCAGTTTCACTTACTGGTCAAAAGTGTCATCAAATTGAATTCTTATCTAACCTGAATAAGTTTCCCAACATATCAAACTATTGCATTAAGTATAATATGATTGCTGTACTTTTACTACTAAACGTCTTTTACATGCTGTAGGCTTACTGCTAATGTATATGTTAACCTGAACACACACACACACAC